CCTCCTCCCCAGGTTGGATGGAGATGTAGTGGCTGTCAAACAGGGTGGGCAGATCCTCGCCCACCATCTGTGCGGCGGGTTGAGGTGTGTGGCAGCAGGGGCAGGAGTGGCAGCAGGGGCAGGAGTGGGGCATGCCGGTCTGCTGGCTGGCCAGGCCGGCTGGCTGGCAGGCTGGCAGGCGGGGCCGGGAGCGCAGGCAAACAGGCATGCAGGCAGGTGGCAGGCATGCAGGCAAGCAGGCAGGCTGGGGCGGGCGGGGAGGTGGACGGGCGCCACTGTGCCACGCAGCGGGCGCCGCCGCACCTGGTGCAGGTCTGCCAGGCTCAGCCCGCCCGCCCCCACCGCGATGGCGTATGCCAGGCTGGCGTGCAGCAGGCGCGTGTCGCGCGCCACCTCCCCCAGCAGCTGCAGCGCAGGCGCAGGCGCAGGAGGGTTTGCTTGCGTTGCAACCGGAGGCCTGTAGCTTCGCAGCTGAAACACTTGGAAACAAGAAACAGTGGGGGCAGGTTGCTTCAAGAAGTAATAGAGACCACTTGTCAGCGCTGCCAGCAGCAATGCATGTCACAATACCGTGCGGTACAATGCAGTACCATGCGGCACCTGCTGCAGCTCCTCCCGCCCCGGCTCGAAGTATCCAGCGATGGCCAGCTGCTGGGCGGCGTCTGCAGGCAAGGGGGGCGCCAACGTGGCAGCCGGCAGAGCACAAACAGCATGGGTCCCACAGGCAGAGCCAGAAGGCTGCTGCCAGCCGATGCCGGCAGGCAGCTGCCGGGAAGGTGAGCGGGCGCTGCCACCACAACAGGCACGCACCGCCCACGGCAAACAGGGTCACGTTCTGGGCGGGGTTGAGGAAGTTCCACTGCAGGCAGTACCGGATGGAGAAGGCAAGCAGTACCACAGTAGTACCACCAGCTGCATGCTGGGTATACAGAGCCCTGAACCAGCTCAGCTGACTGGTGGCAGGGCGGCGCGACGGGCTGCACCAGCCACAGTCGTCCTTCAGCCTGCCAGCGGCAACTGCTGCTGCCTGGGCCTGCTCGCAGCTTCCCCCAGCCCTGGAAGCTGCCTCGGGGCACTCACCCCTGACACTTCCACAAGGGTGCGCAGAATGGAGAGCTGCGGGGTGCCGTCGATGGCGGCGGCGATGGAGGGGAAGCACGTCGGCTGCCCGGCAGCTTCTGCCGGTACCGCTGCCGCTCTGGCGGCGCCGGGAGCGGCGCCAGGGGGCGCGGCGGCGGGGACAAACGCCGATGGCGGCTGGAGGCCGGCGACGGCCACAGAGTAGGGCAGCACTTGCTGGAGGGTGCGGGCGGGCATGAGCACCGCGTCCACCACATGCACCACTGCGGCAGCAAGGGGGGACAGGAGGAGACTGCATCGGGTGGTGTCGGTTGGGAGGAGTGCATAACATACATACGGGTCAGTAGGGTGTGCGTGCAGCCTGGTTCGGGGTGGGTGGGGAGGTACATGTAT